CACACACATATACATATATATATATATATATATATATATATATATATATTCATATATATTTTTTTGTTTTTATTAAACATCATAGAAATAATTGAAATAAAAATGAGCTCTTAATTAAAATAAACATATTAGGGAAAATATAAAAAAATCTGCAAAAAAATAAGCTCTTAAGCTTTCATAAATCGTTGTAAACAATACTATCCAAATTCGACAATTCCTAAACGCTCCGAAATCGCACTCTCAACACTGTAAACAAACACACTGCAGATGCTGTTGATAAAATACTGCATAACTGTTGACACACCCACAGCCAGATAGCCACGCCCCCCTTTACTGCAGACACACCCAGATCACCCACAGTGCAGCGTCATCTCAGCAGAGAAATGCAGTGATGCTTGTCAACAAGCTCAGCACCAGTGTCCCACTAACACACACATGCACAGCCCAACTGCACGATTATATTGTCCTGCCACCAGAGGTGCTGAGTGCGGAGATAAAAATAGCACAGAGCATGCAGAGTAAGACCGACACAGAGAGAGAGAAGGAAAGCTAAAGAGAGAGAGAGAGAGAGCAAAATAAAGAGTGATGCCCACCCGCAGCTGATGCATGCCAGTTGGGAAACGCCAGGTGAAAACAGTCGCACATGGTGGCTGTCTACTGGGGGTCTTGTCCAGGCTGTCAGTACTGGTTTCAGGAAGCCTCGCTCTCTTCCTCCGAGGCTGAAGAACCTGCTGCTTCCTTTTCCTCTCAGTCAGTCACTCCAGGTGCAGAGGACAAAATAAAGTCGGAGCCGGTGAACGGTGACATGCGAGGGAGGGACGGAGAGAGATGTCGTGCTCCATCCACACTAGTTCGTACTTCACAGGAATGAGGCTGCACTCTCTTCCCTGCCAGAATAAACTCTGTCTCTCTAGCTAAAACAATTAAATGGGGGTATGGCTGACTTGGGACGGGGGCTGTCCTAAACAACGCAAATCCCTCCTTCTAAGCATCTCACTCCCCACTTCTGATCACTTTTGACCAATCGCTGCAGAGGCGCTCTGGACCGTCCCGACTGCTGATTGGTTTACGACGCAAGAAAAACATTACAGCTTTATAGGCATGCGGCAGAGATGCGTAATTGGATTTGACACCACACAGTACATGTTTTCATGTCTGCTGGGTGACAGAAGGGGAAGGGAGGATGCGGTTTGTCAGGTGACTAGACTAATGTGTTTAAGAGCAACTGTGTACCTGAGCTGGCTGACATTCACAAACTTCTGATATGTAGTTTTGGCTGATAGGGTTAGGTGACATGTTTGGGGGAATGTCTCCTCTGGTTTCTGCACAACTCCGTCCTTCTGAGGATGGCCACTAAGACCATGGCTAAATGATTTATGATTTCATGTCTAAGAATAAAAAATGACCTCAGAAAGGTACCAGGCTGTGACGTCAACCTGAGACAAGCTCAGTGCGCCACCCCTCAGACTACAGCGGTCGTATTTATGGCTTTTGTGGATCTAAATCAACCCAATTTAAAGAAAAGTTTCTTGGTTTTTGGTTCTGATTGAAAAATCACAGTTAAAAGCTTTTCAATATCTTGCATGCATAAGCAGCTCAATTGGACATTGCTGCAGTCTCCTGCTTCTCAGATTATTTTTTTCTGAGATATGTAATATATATATATATATATGTAATATATATATTACAGTGTAGACTTTCTGAACAATAACTGTTTTCATACAGCCATATAATCCATTTATAATCAACTTGATGGCTTAATTGGACTGAAAAGCCTTCCTGTAGACACCGCAGTCGATCTGAATGAAATCCCGATCTGATTAGAAGGTCTGGTGTCAACCTGAAATAACCGATCAACAGAAATATATTTAAAATGTAAACTCTTGAATCCAACTATTACTGAAATTGGATTCAAAAACACTGTGCACATGTGCAGTGCTGTGATACGTATGTTATGTAGTACATTTACATCTAATGTGCAAACGTGTGTTTATTTACGCCTCACGTCTCAAACAGGTCAGTGGAAGATGTGATTATTTACTATATATTTCCCATAAAGCTCTTCTGACATACATGTCAGCTTTCTTGTTGGCATCAAGGCAGACAAGATAATTATACTCACAGTAGCACCGGTAACATTATTGCAGTGACTTTCTCTGGTTCGGATTGTGCTAATTGGGACATACAAGCTGATGTTTTGTACAGAATACATGTAATACACTTGTAAATGATTAAGAAAATCAGATTGCTATGTTTAAGTTTCATATAAACTAGGGTGACCATATGTGCCATTTTCCCAGGACGCGTCCTGGCCAGGATTTCTATATTGCCTAAAATATCTAGGTTTTGGCTTTGTTTGCGTGTGCAGACCGATCGGTATATGACATCAAAGTACCATACAGACGGTTATGCTTTCGAAACGCTCTCGAGGTACTTTGATGTCAAACACTGATCGGTCTGAGCCGCACTGCTAAGTCGAACACTGTTAAGTCGAACACACCTAATATGTACACGTAATTGCATCGCTTTGACCATAGATCCCACCTTCTCACACGCCATGATTGGTCCATTATGTACAATGCTTGCATGTTATTGGTCAAACTAATTTTCGATCATTAGCTTCAGCAAGCATGAAAACAGTTTCGAAACGCTCTCGAGGTACTTCGATGTCAAACACTGATCAGTGCACTGCTTTTAAGTCGAACACACCTAATATGTACGAGTAATTGCATTGCTTTGACCGTAGATCCCACCTTCTCACACACCATGATTGGTCCATTATGTACAATGCTTGCATGTTATTGGTCAAACTACTTTTCGATCATTACCTTCAGCAAGCATGAAAACAGGAAAACAAAGCCAAAACCTAGATATTTTAGGCAATATAGAAATCCTGGCCAGGACGCATCCTGGGAAAATGGCACGTATGGTCACCCTATATAAACAGAAGTTTCAGAATCAGAAAACGGACAGGATTGATTTCGATTGAGGGAAATTAGTGCATGCAAACATACCTAATGTCTCAAACAAAAGACAGAAATCTCTTTCAAATGAATTCAAACATTTATCATCAAATGCTTCTGAGACCGAACTATCTGAGATATACTGACCATGTACATTGTATAACAAGATTTTGTTGTTGTTGTTTTGTTTTTTTTAATGAAATTTCAGAAGAAACGTCCATCTCTCTTAGTTCATCGTCTGTATATTCTGGTTCAAAAATGTAAGGCTGGGCAAAAATTTGCAGGTCATCTTCTCTGTCGAAATCTTCAGACATGTTCACGAAGACTGTTTTATGTACAGCGTGCGTCTACTTCTGATTGGAAACAAGGTGCGATGCATTTAGGTTCTACGTTGGAAGAACTATTTTAATGATGTCCTTACTATCTTTCTGGGCCTTGAACGTGTCAGTTGCGTTGCTGTCTATGCCGGGTCAGAAAGCTCTCGCATTTAATCAAAAATATCTTAATTTGTGTTCCAAAGATGAAAGAAGGTCTTACGAGTTTGGAACGACATGAAGGTGAGTAATTAATGACAGGATTTTCATTTTTGGGTGAACTATCCCTTTAAAGTTACTGATATATAACAATGAAAAAGCTCAGTATTTGAAGTGTGTGTTTGTGTTTTGGGAGCAGACATAGGATAGGCATCTTTTGTAAAGCAAGTTTGTATGCAACATATTCAAATTAGGTCGATTAACATTTGTCATGAATTCTTGTCTGGATGTGCAGTATGTCAGATTTATTCACTTATCAGCATCCTACCTTATTCTTAATGAATTAAATTACTATTTAATAATTTAATAGGATTATTTTATAATAATAATCCAATAATCCATGTTATTATTCATACTCAAAACAGTTTGATTCCCGTTTAAAGAGGCTTTCTATAAATTTTAGTAAAGGTATTACTGCAGCAGCAACAACAAAAGCATAAAGCATCAGGCATGTTCACATTGCTGGTTATATGTGATGCATTACTAATTTATCAGTAAAATCTTGTGTATGACAAATTAAACATGGGGTGAAGTTTGAGAATTTATGTACAGACATACAGTATGTTCCCTATGCATGTATGTATACACTCTTGATGTTCATTCTTATGTCTTACAGCCTTGTAAACAGAAGGATCTCGGTTTCATATTCAGCACAGATGTCCATCTCTTTATGTGTCTGCATCTGAGACAGGGAGTGGCAGGATGATACTGCATTAGCCCCTGGCTGCTGCCCAAGAAACTCCACACCAAAATCAATTTAGGCACTTGAGAAAAACAGAATGTGCCCTGCCACCATCTTTGCCTACGCTTCTTCCGCCAAGCTTCTGCAAAGACCTACCCTCTTCTGCCATTATGCACCACAGATTCTGTCAACATTCAAAAGGTAATTCATCCTCCATGTGATTTATATATATATATATATATTAACATGCATTTACTGCCACATCTTCAGTGCTATGAACTAACCTTCTGCTCATAGAGTGGAAAGTTTGAGTATTGAAGGAATTGAAAACACTGTTATAGAGTTTCTGCTGATAAGCAGACGCTTTTAATGTAATGCAAATAACACTTCTTTATTGGCAGAGACTGTGCTCCTGGAGCAACCTGTTGCTTTGGCTCAATTGACTTGACATGAATGAAAACAAGGCTAAATGGTGTCTACCCTGAGATTATAAGTAGTACTATACTTTTTTGGCTGCCTGTACCAGGAAGTGGATTGGTATCTTTTTGTATTTTAGTAGTCTAAAACTTTTGGCGCCACCTCTCCAACAGGACAGTAAATTGATCTAACAAAGTCTCCAGTTCCGGGTCATCCTGCTTGAGGAATGAGTTTTCAATATTTGCATTCGAAATGTCTATCTGTAGACAGTCTCCAGCATTAAGAAGCTGTCATGGAGAGTATTCAGTGCACGTACAGTAAGAGTCAGTTTGAGAAGTTTTATCCCTCCAAGAAATAATGCTCACTTTTCTCAGTGACCTCAAAAATGTATTTTGTAAAACACCTTTTAAAACATTATGTGCCCCAAACTACTTGTTCAATCTGACACTGAACATAAATGTAAGGTTTTCTATTGTAAAATTATTATTATTAATATAATTGTAAATTATAGTACATGAACAATGTTGGGTGTAATTAGTTACTAAGTAATTATTTACTGTAATTGAATTACTTTTCCCTTGAAAAAGTAAAGTAAGGGATTACTCTTATTTTTTCTGCAATTTAATTACAGTTACTTCTTACGTAATTTAATTTAATACTGTGTATAGACTGTAGAACATTTATATACAATACATCAAAATTTAAAGTCTAACCTTAAAATGCATGCTTTTTATGTACCCTTCTCACTTTAAATACTTTGGTGAGTTAATAAGAACATTGGTAACACTTTAGTGTCCAATTCTCACAATTAACTTGTTGGTTATTAGCATGAATATTACTGGAATATTGACTGTTTATTATTACTTAAAAACACATATTAATGTCTTATTCTGCAAGACCATATTCTAAATCCTTAATCCTACACAATTCTTAAACTTAACAACTACTTTACTAAGTATTAATAAGCAGTTTATTGAGGCAAAAGTCATAGTTAATAGTTAGTTAATAGTGAGAATTGGACCCTAATCTAAAATGTGACCAGAATAATTTATGTAGTTATCTATTATTTATTTGAAAGAATTAAAAGCACCGTTTCATGTCTATTCTTGTATCATTAACTTGTCGAGGTTGATATAGGATTTAGAAGGTAATTAGTAATAAGTAATTAAATACTTTTTGGAGAGAGTAATTTGTGCAGTAATCTAATTACACTGTTGAAGATGTAATTAGTAACTAGTAATTAATTACTTTTTTAGAGTAACTTACCCAACATTGTACATGAATGACATGAAAGTGGAGG